AGCARGGTTCCCATGAGTCCTCGGTGTCCTGCAGACCAGCAGTGACTCAGAACCACTAAAACAAGAAGAACCACATTTAGAAGAACTGAAAATAGAGAAAAGATGAAGTGAAGAGGAGCTGCTGGTCCACGTCAGTCCACCTGAGTCCTCTGTCCCTCATGCTTTCATAGTCTTCCTCAGTTTGGACACGTTCAAGTTCCAACTGGTTCTGTCCCCTGACTCAGGTCCAGACCAGGACTGAAGAGATCAGAGGGTTCAAACTGACTCAGATGTCTTCAGATCTGTCTTTGTGTCCAGTCTCAGGTCTGTCTTTGGGTCCAGTTTCAGGTCTGTCTTAGGGGTCCAGTCTCAGGTCTGTCTTTGGGTCTAGTCTCAGGTCTGTCTTGGGGGGGCGGCCTCAGGTCTGTCTTAGGGGGTCGGCCTCAGGTCTGTCTTTGGGTCCAGTTTCAGGTCTTTCTTAGGGGTCGGCCTCAGGTCTGTCTTTGGATCCAGTCTCAGGTCTGTCCCCCGGTCTGTCTTAGGGGTTGGCCTCAGCTCTGTCCTCAAGTCTGTCTTTGGGTCCAGTCTGAGGTCTGTCTTTGGGGTCGGCCTCAGGTCTGTCTTGGGGTCCAGTCTCAGGTCTGTCCCCCGGTCTGTCTTGGGGGCGGCCTCAGGTCTGTCTTTGGGTCCAGTCTCAGGTCTGTCCCCCGGTCTGTCTTTGGGTCAAGTCTCAGGTCTGTCTTGGGGGCGGCCTCAGGTCTGTCTTTGGGTCCAGTCTCAGGTCTGTCTTGGGGGGCGGCCTCAGGTCTGTCTTTGGGTCCAGTCTCAGGTCTGTCTTGGGGGGTGGCCTCAGGTCTGTCTTTGGGTCCAGTCTCAGGTCTGTCTTTGGGTCCAGTCTCAGGTCTGTCTTATGGGTCGGCCTCAGGTCTGTCTGTGGGGTCGGCCTCAGGTCTGTCCCCATGTCTGTCTTGGGGGGCGGCCTCAGGTCTGTCTTGGGGGGCGGCCTCAGGTCTGTCATAGGGGTCGGCCTCAGGTCTGTCTTGGGGGTCGGCCTCAGGTCTGTCTTGGGGGTCGGCCTCAGGTCTGTCATAGGGGTCGACCTCAGGTCTGTCTTGGGGGTCGGCCTCAGGTCTGTCTTGGGGGGCGGCCTCAGGTCTGTCTTGGGGGTCGGCCTCAGGTCTGTCATAGGGGTCGGCCTCAGGTCTGTCTTTGGGGCCAGTCTCGGGTCTGTCTTTGGGGCCAGTCTTGGGTCTGTCTTTGGGGCCAGTCTCGGGTCTGTCTTTGGGGCCAGTCTTGGGTCTGTCTTTGGGGCCAGTCTCGGGTCTGTCTTTGGGG